GGGTCTGAGCTCATGTGGGACCCGGCAGCTACTGTCTTCACACACATGCTCTCCAGTACAGGTTAGCTCTGAGTGTCAGCGATGCTAATGTAAACACCGACCATATTACGTCCAATACAGTCGGGCATTGTTTCTGATAGCAACGTTTCTGATAGGGCCGTGGGTGTAAAGCCAGCCCACATTTCCGATATTACGTCATATCGGACGCAAATCTGGATCAGCCCAGTTGTAGCCCCGTTTTTAGAGATATGGGTACGATAGGTCCCCTTTAACATTTGGAAATTATCTCAAGTATCGTCTCAAGTAAGGGAGTTGCTTTGTTTATAATGAAGTTACAAACAAATAATTGTTTGTTTAATTAAATACAGTATGGTTGTTTTAAAACAAATTTTCAATTTTACAGCAACTACACTATCATAATGAATACTGTTACCTTGATATAAAACTGCATAAGTTATGATGTGAATATTTGGCAATATAAAAACCAAAATAAAACCTACCCGAGTCCACCATGATGTCCTCGTCCTCTCCTGATCCGTCTTCATCTCTGAACACCACCTGTTTCCCCTGGCGGAAGACCTTCCTCTTTCCTGCAAGGCCCTCCACCTTTTGTACCTTAACCATCCCCTCTTCGAGGTCTTCGTGACCCCAGTCTTGACGCTCGTCGTTGGGCTCCTCCTTGCAGGGGGCCGAGCTAGGCAGGCGCTGGGGGGTGAGGGGGATGCTGAAATCATCCTCAGGCTCCTCTTTGATCGTTCGGCCACCAAAGGAGTCGGGGTACTGCAGCCCTGGAAACGTCGGGTGGGCTTGCTGGACCCTGCTCTCCTCCCCAGACCCATGTTCCCTCTCCTTTCGCCTTTTCTTCTTCTTCAGCTTTTCAGCTTTTCTGCGGTCATCTGGGTGCAGGGTTGGGATTGTGTGCTAGAGGAGAGAAATAAAAAGGGAACGCATGTTTAAAGGAAGGAAGGCGAACATATAAGGCTTTGACTTGGATTCATTTAACTCACGTCTTTCTTGGTGTGACCGGACAGTGTGGCTCCTGGCTGTGGACGTTTCCTGCTCCTGTCCTGGGGGGCCTTGGGAGGGCGCTGGGGGCAGGAGGTTGGGGGTCCCGGGGTCCAGCCATCACTGTCCGCTGTGCTGCCTGTACTGTTGGGAGGACTGGAACTACTGCGCAGTGGAGAGTCCTGTATCGAGACAAAGGAAGAACTAGAAGTCAGTGAATTCAAACACACAACCACAGATAACACTTGTGATGAACAGATTTCTACACCAAACAATAAGATGATCATATATTGTTATATTCCTATTTACAAATATATTCTATATATTAAATGTGTACTAATAAGGTAGGCAGTAGCTTAGTCCATAGAGGCATGGCTTGGGAAACAGATGGTCGCTAGTTCAAGCTGGCCCGGACGCTCTGTTGACTGGTAGCTGGAGAGGGGCCAGTTCGCCTCCTGGGAACTGCCGACATGTCCTTGAGCAAGAACCATGGCAGGTCCTTTGCTCTGAAACCTCTCCATGTGTGTATTTAGGGCAAAATGTCTATAGGTCCTGTTTGTGTGTATCTCAACTGTATCAACAGAATGAATTTTCCCTAGGGGGTTAATAAAGTGTGCTTTCTTCTACGCCTTATGAGATATACTGTACCGGTTTAGAGGTAAAGTGCAGCTTTAGACTAAGAGGGTTTTTGTGGCATTTTCCTTTATTCCATAGTTCAGCAGAAGATAGACAGGAACGAGAGAAAAGAGAGGGGATGACATGCAGCAAAGAGGAACTCGCTGTTGTAAGTAAGCACTGTCTAGGGAAATTCTTACTAGATTAACACTTACATAATTTTATTTAGCATTTAAACTACAGTTCTGTTTCTTGTCATTCATCATAAAAAAGCACAAATAAAAACTAATCAATTAAAGAATTCCTAATCGACTATGGTCCAGACCAGAGGTTGCGCCAGACTTTTTCGCCGTCCGTAATTGTTGAAGGACAGGATTGTAACATTTCAGTCAAAATCTACTATTACCCGTCGGTCTGTACAACTCCGACTGGTGGGGCCTGTGAACTGTCAACGGAGGGAGGGAGGGGGCCGGGGGGGGTGCACGCTCGTGAACTGTTAGCTCCGTGTTATGCATGCCCACTGCACCTCGCGGGAGTGCGCCACAGCGTAACGCAAAAACTCAGACATTTCAATGATTTGTACGGCAAAGTAAGGTTTGGAAACTATATCATTTCCTTTTTGGAGGGCATGGATAACACCGGAGCCTCGCTGCGTGGAAGCTTTGTCGCTGTTCTGAGTTTGTTCTAATCTGTCAAAATTACGGACTGCTTTCAGGTTTTTCCGTCATTGTTAAAAAAAGAAATCAGACGGAAAATATTCGTCTAACACGACCACTGGTCGAGACATACAATACATCAACTAAAAAGGGGAATTCATTGATGACAGCTTAAGTGTTGGGCTGCGCTATTTATCATATTAATCAACCATAATGTAAACCGCTATGACTTTTAGTTTTGATGTGAAGCTGTGGTTCTCAAATGGGGGTACGCGGACCCCTAGGGGAACGTTGGAGTACTGCAGGGGGTACGTGAGATTTATTTGATGTTAATGAAAACATAATTCATGCATTTAAACAAACAACTAATAGTAGATTAACTACTTTATTCAAAGGTTTACAGTAATTCTGGATAATAAAATGGGGAAAATAAACGGGGTGCTCTCTTTTCCTCTCCCTCTCCTGACAGCCCATCAGTCTTGAGCAGCTCGCGGAACCTGTAATAAGTGACCCGACAGTAAAGAATACATATATTTATAACTAGTTTAGCTAGTTCCAGAGTAGATAAACTAGCTAAGTGTGTTAGGTCCAAAATAAATAAATATACAAACTTTAGGAAAAGTAACGAAGTGCAATAACTGCAGTTTGCCCCCCTGTCAGAATGACAAAGATCCTCAGTGAAGCACAAGCCCATGTTTCTCACTAAATTGTAAGTACAACTTATTAAAAAGATCAGTTCAATGCAACTAATGTCGTCTTAGTGTTATTGCATGATGTTAAAATTGGTTTGCCATGAATTTAGTGATGGGTTGTAAACATTTGAAATGTAGCATTTAAGTGTTTCTCAGTTACAATGTTGTTCTTTTAAAAAATCAGACACTGATGGTGCAGCGCTGTACTGTACCTCTTTATATAGGCTTTTTTTCACTAACATTGTTTTTTGCGCTGATCAGGGGGTACTTGGCTGACATTTTTTTTTCAAAGGGGGTACATTATTGAAAAAAGTTTGAGAACCACTGTGTTAGAGGAAAACCGAAAAGCAACTTG